TTTGTAATAAGAATATGGATTTTATTACGAATTTTTAATACCTACTTAATTATTACCCACCCTGTATATTCAAAATTATGCATTCTAACAGTGTATGCATAAAAGTTGTTACATATTTGATCATAGACGGATTAACAAGACATGTACACATAGGTAAATACACACACACACATATGTCTGTGTGTGTGTGTGTACAATAACAACCAACAAACAACCTTAAATTCTTACATTTGCCACACATACACTACACTCTCTTGTTGGTTAATTTGTCATTTATCAAAATTTCGAGCAATTCGCGCACATATAGATGAATATATCACAAATAAGCAAAACAGTATTAAGAAGACAAATTTTAGTAGATTACATCAAATTTTTATATAGGACACAGTGCAAAGAAAAAATCTCCAAATTCTGGAGGATGTTGTAATAAAAGCGAAGCATCCAACATTAAATAAAGCATCCTTCTCCTTAGGGGACCGTATATTGAAGTGTGTTGAAGAATAAAAAGAAAAATTCAGTTTGACTTTTTAAATGATGTAACCTTGAGTGACTTGAAAATGACGTCACTCGAGTGACTTAATTCCATCAAACATGACAATGCCGGAATGAAAAAAAAACAGTTGTGGAAATATACACAGAAAAATGAAGCAAAATTCGAAAGTACTCGGGGGAAAAAGAATATAAAATAAAAATAAATATGAACTTTTGCAAATTTACCGATATCACAGGATTCGGAAATTTAAAAAAAAATTGATTGATAGAACTTTATATATTATTTAACCAAACATGTTTAAGAGAATTATTGCTGCATATATAGTCACCCACAGACAGATTGTTTCGCTGTATCAGAGCTTATCAGTGTGGTTGGACGTCCGGTTGCTTCTAGCTAAGCTAGAAACCCGACTGAACTGGCGTCAGTCGGAGACTCTGCCTCTAAGCCGTTGGCGCACGATAGAGATGAAGGTGAATTTAAGCGTATTTATTTTTAGATACACACACAGTGATTGAGAGGACTTGAGTCGTTTTACCGAAGAGTCTGTCTGTGGATGACAATATATATATATATATATATATATATATATATATATATGATAAAATATACCTTTAAGGTATGTTATATCTCTGGATAAAAGTGCTCAATATCTGGGATAGAGTGTTTGTAGTATGGACACATAGATCAGGACCGAATGGCGACAATCTGTCTCATGCTTACACTCCATTTTCAGGACATCCCTGGTACGCTATATATAATGAATTAATGGATTTGTTTTTAATCTGACATTTTTATTACTTCAAACTTTATTATAATGGATACTCGTATTTAAATCTTTTTATTTTGACATTAAGCAATGTGTATTACGTTTATTGGCTTGAGAATTTGAAAAACCTTCAACAAAATATGCCCTCTACCACACACACACACACACACACATATATATATATATATATATATATATATATATATATATATATATATGTATGTATGTATATGTATATTAATGATTTTCTAACATTTATGTAAAAAAAAAATAAAATAAGTTTGTATTTGCAAAGGAAATTTGAAAGTGCGTCCTGAACCTCATACAAGTTTGCTGTTACTATTCGACGTGATATAATTTTTATCAAGTGTGTCTCACGTCATCAGTTACGACTGAATAGTGAATTATATCCTCACTGGGTGCACCATACTTTCGGCCTTGTATCACATCTAAAAAAATCACCATGCAAGCCTGCTGCGATCTAAAATGGCTCGTGTGTAATGGCCAAGTTCTTCCACAGTAACTGCTGTAGAGTCACTAGCAACCTCTTTTTCTTGTATGTATCTTGTTCTTTCAAGACATAAGCGATCGGGGGTCTTCACAACTTTCTTTTCCTTTGAAGCTCTTAGTAACACTTTCTTTATTCCTATCCCTCCCAATCCCAGTTCTGCCATCCATTTGCACAGTTTGTAGGCAGTTTACTCACTTATTTCCCTCTGCACCTCTTGCTTTAATATGTCCTGTGAGTGCCAGATTTTCCGGGACCTCTTTCCTGGAATATGTCTTAGAAATTTCAGTTTTCCCTTTTAGATTTTATCTATAATTGTCCTTTTTGCTGACAGCTTCTTCTTCACTTGCATGTTCAGTTCATGGTATTCTCAGCATCTTTTTATAGAACCAAATCCCTGTTGCTTAAAGACTTCATCTATGAAGAGATATTTCAGCATTCCCTATCATATAGGATAACCGACATACAAGTTAAGCTTTCTTTTCTTTGTTTCTAACGTTTTTTTTTCTTTTTCTTAGTCCTTTACACAGGTTTGGGAAGGAATGTTTAACTCTTCCAATGCGCCTTCGGATTTCGCTGTCACATATTCCGTCCTCTTTTAAAACACTTTCCAGATATTTAAATTTTAGTACTTGCTTGATTTTGACATCTTCAATTCGCCACTCGTATGTTGGACCCTTGTTTGACAACTAGATATTCTGCCTTCCCACAATTGATGTTTATTTCTTTGACTACAGTTAACTAATTTGGCAATACGGATTTTCCCTGTTATGAATTCGTGGTTTTAGTCGGAATGGGATGAGCCCTGGAAGAGGCTATTACTCTAAGATTCTCTATCGACAGAGTCTCTATTTCCAACTGATAAAAATTAAATTGAAACATCGATATTTGAACAAAATAGATTGTGATCTAATTAAATCATTTAAAAAATTACATTTCAGGCGATTTTAACATAATCTAAAATTTTAATCTTCAGATTGGTTGTTTTTGTTTAGCAGCATATCAACACCTCTATGGGTTATTTAATGCCGAAATCTAAATATTTTGTACGCAATTGTACTTTTTCTTTGGCGATAATAATGGTTTTAGTGATACAAGTTTTAATAATTAACCCATCGATAGGGGAGAATAGGTGGATTTATACCTTTCCCAAAGGTATTTGCGCGTAAGTCAATATAACGGACCCGACCACCATTAGAAATCGGCTCTGCCATTAACGATTCTGGGCCATTATCAAGTACACCACCAGCACATCAAAGCTTATAGTATCTGGTATTCCCACCTAGTTACTGGCATTGCTCGATGTTGCTTAACTTCGGTGATAGTATGAGAACCGGTGTTTCAACGTGATATGGCTGCAAGCTTTAATCTTCAAGAATACAATACTATTTCTTTAAACTTCTGTTGTTGTGTAGGAACCTACCACCCCTCTTGAAGATGAACTCGTATAAAAACAAGGACGTAAAATAGTGGCATGTCAAAAGAGAGGGTCGGAGAAGTTCTTGGGCTGAGTTAGTTATAGACTACTCAGGCGATTTCTGTACCAACTTACCAACCGAATAAACCCCATTTTATTGTTACATGTTATTTGGCGTTTGTCTTTATTAACCCCAAATTAACATCATAACAGCTGTAAATCTCTAATAATTAATAAGTGGTTCTTTTTTTATTGTGGTATCTACTGATGAAAGTTCTGTCATTTTATCGTTCTGATCTCATCATTGCTTCTTGATAATGTTGACCTGGGGAGACCTATGGCAACGTTGTGTAGTGTTTACATTAAAAAGACTGTTTATTTACACGTTCGTGTCAGTATAAGAATTAGGAAGAAAATGCGTTGCATCCATATATTTACAAAAGACGGCATTTTAAAAAAAAGTGTCAAATAAATTACGTTTCAAACTTTTTACTCTTGTATTTGATATCATTTTTTTTTTGTTTTTTTAGATTTCTTTCTGAAGCCAGTATGAATAAATTTGAAATCTGCAGAAAGAAAAAAAAAACTATTATTCCGATAACCTGTTTAATTTCCAAATCTTTTATTTTAGACATTTTCCCCTCGGGTTGGCAAATAAAAGAAAAAGAAATAGTTAAGAAGAAAAGAGTAAATTATATGTCCTGGGAAAATCATTTAATGATAATTTGCATATTTTGATGGAAAAAGTTAAACAAGTTTTCTCGTGAGATATTGGTTAAGAATCAACCACTTTGATTACTTTACATGGAAGACTTATAAGAACGTGTTTTTCTTTTGTTCTTGTACAGATTTCAAACGGCAATCCCATTTTCCCAATGTCATTCCTGGCAGGATTTGCACATTAAGAAAAGATCCTGGACAAATATAATAGTTGCAACGATGTCTAATATCAAGACCACAGTATCAGGCAAGTGATGCCCTTATAGAATTTCAAAATCGTAAACATATGAAACCAGTGTCTTCTTGGTGGTTAAGACGTTTCAAATTTGTCGTCGCTACTCACATACACAGAGACACACACACACATATGTAGATATATAAATATATGAATTGCACATAAAGTGCTAGTGTTACTGAAACAGTGTTCGATGTTATATAACAGAGCTATAAAGTATCTATTTTAATCAATATACATATATTTTTATAATTAAATTTATAAATTTAGTTTCAGTTTTGAAACATGGAAGTTTTATAATTATTTTCTTTTTAAAAATATGATTCCATCGCGACACAGAAAATTTCCATATTTCAAAACTGAAACTAAATTTATAAATTTAATTATAAAAATTAAACTTAAACTTTAAATCCATCGTCTCGTTCCAATTGTCAATGGTAGGAATTTATAAGCGCAGACAATATTGATGTTATTGAGTTGTTAAGGTTAAGGAAAATCTATTTTAATTTAGGGGTGGTTGGGTCTTAATTTCCCTAGACAGCTTATGTGTCCAATATATGTCGCTTACAATGTGTTAGCCTTTTGATGTAGATTGTTCATTTTTACGGCTTATCAACTTTTTACTCGTTATTTAAAGCCAGAAAATGTTTTTCTGATTGTAAGGATTTTTTGTGCGAGGATAATAAGGATTAACTGATACAAGTCTTACTATTTAACGCATAGCTGGGGGGGGGAAGAGTTGTATTTATATCTTGCACGAGGGCATTTGCGTGTAAGTGAATATAACAGAGCCGATTAGAATTCTGCTCTCTAAATTTACAATTCCGAGACGTTATACATTGCACTTGCCTCTCATCCCAGCTTACAGCACCAGGTATTCTTTCTCAAGTGGTCACCCATCTAGATACTGACTAGGCTCGATGTTGCTTAACTTTGGTGATCGTACGAGAACCGATGTTTCAACATGATATGGCCGCAAGACCTTTTAATTTAGAGTTTATTCAACACTAGTTCTTCATACCTGACTTCCATGATCAATATCTTATTGATTGCGTTGTATAGTTCTCTTCAAATAGCCGAGTCAACACAAATTTTTAATCCAAATACATCTGCTAGACGAGGCACGGTGGTGTAATGGATTGAGGAATCGGAGAGTTGAGTTCGAATTCCAGTCAAATCTATTACATTCACTTATGTGCATTCATACCTTTCCCAAGAAAAGGTATGAATCCCCTTCTTCCACCCCACCCCACCAGCTATAAATAAATAGCAGGACAGACGGGATTCTATAGCCTTGGATGGCAGCTAGCAGAAAGAAATAGCAACATACTGCGGGAAAAATCTGTATCGAAATATACATGATCGCCTAAGCATGTATCACGCATGGCACATAACTGGATTGAACACCTTTTCTTCTCACATGAACTCTATGAGTGTTAATTCTTCTCTTATCCTGTTTAGAAAAGGCACTGGATACATCCACAGAAAAAGAAGTCCATATAGATGAAACCAGGAGAACATACTGTATACCTACTTTTGCAGCCCCTTTATAACACCTAATCTCCAGGAAATGTCAAACTAAACCCTTCATTTAATCTACGGGACAGATTGTTCTCATTCTGTCGTCCATGACAAATATTGGATCGTTTCTTGGCCTATGGCTGAGATTCGATCAAGGCTTTGACTAGCTTGGACTGGCTCCGGCCTGGACCTGCTAGGACAAGTCATGACCAGCTTTGACTAGGCTCTGACCAGCTTGGACAAGCTATGACCAGTTTTGGACCAGTGGCCCTTGAGTGGAAACACTCGGGTCTCCCACGTTAAACGACCTTGTGTCACATCTTGACTTTGTGGGAGTCAAGTAAATACCATTCTGTCGTCCATGTCTAAGGATATCTCGTATTATTCTTAGTTAGTTCTTCTCAGAAATTACTCACTCTATTCCCAATGCATCTAAGTCTGCACTACTCAGCCCAGGGATTGAACTCTAAATTACTATATCACTGAATTCACGAACCGACGCTTGAATCCACGAGGCTAGTGTCCTGAGAATTAAACGGTTTATTTCGAAATTCACGGAAAGTTACCAGAATGGACGAGCACCTGTAGGAGGCCAGAGAGCACAAAGACCGGAACTTTGTGACAATAACAACAAATATAAAGTCAAAGGACCAACTTTCCTTTGTTGACCATCAGCTTTGCATAAATCTTGATTCATTTCAATATCCTGGCAAAAAAATCACTTTAGAACGAGAGTAGAGCTTTATTCTTGCTTAGTATTGGGTTTCCACTTTCTTTTAAAGTACCCTCATTCTCTTTCACACACAATAGCGTCTCTTGAGTCTTAGTGACATTATCGCCTTGCTTGAAGTGAACGGATTAACAAGAAAAAACTGAACTTTATATCGTCAAATGTAATTTTATAAAAATTTCAAGCAAAAAAACGTCTCCACTTCTTAAGCTGATAAACGGTTTCCTTTATAGATATAAAAGTTGATAAAACTGGTATTAAAAACTGATAAAAATGACATAATAACTGATCAAAACTTATCTAACCTGATAAGAGGTTTCCTTTTTAGATATAAAAGTTGATAAAACTTGTATTAAAAAAAACTGATAAAACCGATAAAAAACTGATATAACCTGATAAAAATTTGCCTTTTTAGATATAAACGCTGATAAAAACTGATTAAAAACTGATATAAGCTAATAAAAGTTGGTAAAACTGATAAAAAACTAATAAAAGCTAATAAAAACTGGCATAAAAGTTTTCCTTTCCAGATATAAACAAATCTGTTAGATATGATATAATTTATGCGAAATGCAATAGTTTAAGTTATCTGCATAAAAGAATTGAAATCAGTCGATCAAATATACTGAATAAAGAATGAAAACCATTTCTTATTCAGAGACATAGCTAGCAGAAGAAAAATGAGGAATGTATAAATAAAAAAGGCGTCGCATTAGTTATGCTTTATTTATGAAGCAAAATTTTCAAAAGCAAAATTAAGAAAATATAAGCGTTTTTTTTCCATGCACAGTATAAGATAAATAAATTTATTAAAGGAGTCACGTTAACCCGCATGAGAAATGCCTCTATTTTGTTTTTCACCGAGACAATCGTGTATTTATTTCAATGTTGGCATTATCTAATATTTCTTTCATAAAGAAATTTATTGGAAATGGGCTATCTTCTCTATCGAGATGAAGTGACACGGTAAAAGCAAGCCGATTTATAGATCTATTCGGCCAAAATAATCGTTAAACATCTTGCATCAACACATTACTTGAACATACCGCTAAGACTTTATTCTTCGTATCAGTGAAACGAAAAGAAAGGATCATTGCGTAACAAAACGATTTTCTTCGAGAAAAATATATTTAGAATGTGAACTGGAAGCATTGTCAATAATTTTTTCATGTTTTATTCTATGTATTTCTTTAACTTTTTTCTTTAAGGCCGGAATTTTTGTGATCGCTTATTATAGTTTTTTTTTAATATATAACGGTTACTGCTGGGCTAATAACAATAACACTTTTCGAATCAACCGTACGTTTCCACACTCTTGAATTATAGTCTATATTCTTATTTTTATCTCTAACTAATGCAATCTTTGTAAGAATATCTAGGATTGTAGTCTTTTTCTTCAGCGCTAAACAGTATGAATTTCGCTCTACTGGATACACTACTGTTAATACAAAACAGAATCAGCGAGGCACTAGATAATAAATACATCACATGGACGATTCCCTTAGATATATCAAAGGTCTTTGACAATGTGTGTTCTGGGAAATTAACTGGCTTGTAATATCAATACCGCCAATTCAATACATCCAAAACCAAACTAGTAACTTACTCTTCAGGTTTAATAGATTTCAAAAGCGTCTACGCCACCTTGCGGCTGATGTAATATTCTCCATTCTACGACCCCTTTCGTAAAGACGAAACGTTGCAAGCCTCTTGCCAATCTATCGCTATTTCCACGGCAAATGTTCTAACTAGTTACTTTCCTCAGTTCCACCAGTTCCAAGCTTCATAACTAAGACCCACCACGCCATGTACACTGGAACAAACCATCTTCCTTCCCTTCATATTTTATAAGTGAGGCGGAAGTTCCATTCGGACGTCTTCTTTCCAAGCACTGCTATTTTGTGGAACAGACTCCCGAGGGGATGCTTCCCTAATCACTACAATTTTAACCTCTTCAAGTCTTCCCTAATTAGTCATAAACTGCAATTCTTACTTCCTCCTACTCCTCCTCCTCTTACGTGCAACAACATCAACCTTGAGTACCTCTTAATGAACATCAGTTAAAAAAAAAGAAAGAAATTATTTAAAAACGTGCAAATTTCGTGAGAAACAAGTAAAAGAGTGCTGATCTTTTATGTAGTACCATTTATGCTATATGACAGTGAATGCAAAACAATTTCTTCAAAGCTGAAGAGGATACTTGAAGAAACAGAGATGTGGTTTTAAAATTAAATTTTGAAAGTACTGTGGTTAGAACATTCGAGCAACGTGTAAATTATAAGGAAAATGGAAGAAAAATACACACTGATACCAGAGAATCAGAAAAGAATAGTTGACGAAAGATGACTCGGAGAAAGATGGCTAGGAGAATTAGACATTCACAGGATATACTGTAAGTGAGAGTGACAATGTGAAATAGCTAACAAATGGAGAACAAGATAGTAAATAGTAAAAAGAACAAACATTACTCAGAGCTACAAATAACGTATCCTTTTAACTCTTAGCAATGTTGTAGAGAGCCTGATTGTCCACGTCCTGAAGGATATGGCACGTAGAAGAAGAAGAAAAAGAAAATGGAAACAGATGGTGTGTCGAGTTCAAATTCCATGCCTTACCGTTTCGTTTACTTTTGCGCAAATACCTTTGGAAAGAAGGATCTATCTCTTTTCCCTATAGGCTATGAGTCTCTAGCTTAGGTTTGATTGGTAGAACTCTGAATTCAGAACCTGTTGTGCTTGGGGCTAGCAATTTCACCCCTTAAATACATAGACAAAAACTTATATTAAACAAAAGATATTCAATAAACATTTAGTCACTTTTGTTTATTAAACATTATATTACATCAATTCGAATCTTCCATAATTTACCTTGACTTTCAGTTAGCCTGATGTATATTTATGAGTGTTCTTAAGTTCAAAAAGTTTTAAAAACTAACATTCTTACTTTTGTTTATAAATATTTCTGGCAACATAAACGTTTGCTGTGATAAAGTCCATCAGAGAACGCAACGTGTCGCCTAAGGTCAGTTTTTCTTTTTGTCTTATTCATATACATTTTTATATATATATATATATATATATATATATATATATATATATATATATATATGTTTGTATATACATACACACACATATATATATATGTGTGTGTGTGTGTGTGTTTTATATATATATATATATATATATATATATATATATAGGTAAAAGACAATAGAAAAACTGTATTATTCGCCGATGTGTTTCGTCCAATGTGGACTTTTTCAAGGCAAAAACGAAATAAATTAACAGTTACTTTGGTTTCAATAAATTCATTAAACTTTTGACTGGAACATTGGATGAAACACGTTGGCTAATAACACAGTTTTCCTATTGTCTTTTAACACAATTGTCTTTTCTAACTCTGAAATTTTTCATATATATATATATATATATATATATATATATAAGTGTGTCTGAATCAATAAAACTTTAAAACAAAGGTATACAAAAGCCATCCTGGCGCCTCAAATTCATATTACACTGAAAGTACCTCATTACAAACACTGAAGTCCTCAAGATTTCTCCCGTCTTTATCATGCACTGAGTCAATGCTGGAGAGATGCTGTGGGTATGTCATGTCATATCAGGGATGAAAAAAACTTCTACTTCAAAAGATACTGCTGTTCAAATTAACGGTGAGACATCAAGAAGATATATTGGGTTTTCCTGAAGCAAGAGCACTTGTTTCTA